TTGGTAAAAAAAAAAAAAAAATTAAAAAAAAAGTATATATACTTGAAGCAAAAACAAAAATCTATCCCATGTAAAAGTCAGTGTGTGTCACGTCATGCTTGATTTCTTGAAAAATGCACTTATCCAGATGGAATAGATTAATTATTGTCTGCACATTAAGATTTTAGTGACAGGCATGCAAGGGGACCATGATGGGGGAGGGGTGCTGTGAAACCTTATAAGTGTAGTGAGTGTTGGTATAATAAGCCTAAAGTAAAGACAGTGTGAGATCACCTAGCCCAGAGCCAAATGCATAAAATTTATCATGAAAGTAAAATTATCGTTTCAGTTTTAAACTTAAATCATTTCTAAATTAAGATATTTTCTGTTATATCTCCAACACTTTTATTAAAAAATAAACCTCTTTAATCAAAGGAGACTCTAAATTAAGAAATCAACAAACATTTTACCAGTTTTGTTGTCTATACATTTCATTTTATACTTTTAGTACATGAGACTAAGAACAATACTAGGTTATACTTTTGTTGCTAAACGGCATGACATAAAAGCCATTGTTGGAATGTAGTGTTACCAAAATGCACTGGCTTTCTATATATTAGAAGTTGTTAGTATAACTGATTTTTACCAATAATTATTCTATGAATATGCCACAAATTCATTTCATGAATGACCTTAATTTTGATTGGCTCACAAAGGAATTTACTGATGTTTGATTGCCTCGAATGCACTTTTCTGCCTCTTTGTTGGTCAAGCTTGATCTATTTCAGGTTAGGGTATGCTATGGGGTGTGGGTTGTAGTACTTGCCCCGTCATGTTTCTATACGCTAGTTCTAAATAAAATGTAGTCAAATTATAATATATTTCTTTGTTTTATATCAATATCCTATTAGCTAGAAGTATGTGACCTGTTTTGTTACACATATCATTTTTAGAATTGAAATACTTGGAGCTACATTCTACATATGTTTTAACATATTTGAAGGATAATTTTATTTGTGTGTGAAAACAGCTGTATGGCCATCTACATCTAACCCTGAAAGTAAAAAAAAAAGCTTTAAACCACCTTAGTCTGAGAGTTATATGACTATTTAAGTCTAACTTTGAGCATCAAGAAAACACTAAAGTCTTTTATAGTTGGCATAGCAAATTTATTGTTAAAATACTCACCTGCCTTCATACTTTTGTTCAGTCATCAGTTTTAAACTAGGTGAAAAACTTTCATCAGTCCTTCCATGAGCTGTGTGATTAGTCATCAAGATTGTGGTGCTTGTGTGTGTTATGCTACACCAAACAAAACAGTGCTGATAATTGTCAGGGTTGCTACATATTCAGCATTCCTAATGTTACCACATTTGTAGAGATTACACTGTACCCATTCACATGTGGCCTTATTGGATAGAATATAATAACATTGTGAATATGTTACAAAGACAATTTTAAACACTTTTTTTTTTTGACAACCCTAAATTAAGAAAATGCAGGGTATTCCTACTTTACTTTTGTATCTTTTCTTCGTGATATGCTCTTCAGTTTCAGGTAACATTGAATGGTGTCATACACAACAGATCTTGTGACTATTTGATTTATTGTTTTTTCACACTTGTACAAGAACAGTCTCTCTCATCTTTATGTAATTTGTGCATTTGTTTCATTATTACTGATCAACTTAATGTGATGTGTGTCTGTAGCTATATTAAATATCTTAGGTGGGCCATGTTACATGTGCATTTAATAGGGCATTATCTATTTAACTGCTGTACACAATTTTGCCAATATTTTTTCATTAGAGTTCAGGTTGCCTTACGTCAAATAGCAAAATGCTACCCATTTTAATATGTATGTGGTACATATCATGCACTATTTAGCTCCAGAAACAAAATATGCATTCTATCATAAGAAATCGAAAATACAAGATAAATGCACAAATTTATGAATCTCACCTGAATAAGAATGGCATGTAGTGTTGAAGTTTCTTTTTATGATAAGAGTGAAATTATTTATATCAAACCTAAACAAATAATAAGTATAGTTGCACATAAGCCCACATTTGAACCATACTTCTGAAATATACAGACACTTTTCATGCAAACAAAATACTGTTGTAATATTGTTCTTTTGTTGTTGTTTTTTATTTAATTATCGAGTTTAAATAATTAATAAAATCCTGTCCATGTAAATGAAAATAAATTAATTTATTTCTTCCTTAATGTGTTTTTCATATGCTTTCACTGTACACATTTATAGGCAACATTTACAAGTGATACTACTACCTGCACTACACTAACATAAGGAATAAATTTACTTTTACCACTTCATGGCTGAAATTAAAAAAGACACCGACTGATTTGCTTTACCAGATAGAAACAATTTTACTATCGTCACAGTCTTCACAACTACCTGGTATTTATAATCTACCCTCAAATGTACTAGAAAACGTGACATCAAATCTGCTAGAATTTTCTAGGCCTGTTTTAGTGCCATCATTATGGCCTACAGGTCCCTCTAACTAACAAACAAATTACAACATTAAAAACATACAGCTTACAACAGTAATTCATGTAGCATTCTTAATTAATGTCTAATCATTGATCCTAAAATTATCAATAGTTACACTAAATTGTTGAATTTCTGTTCACAAGTTGTTGCCTTAAATGAAGAAAAGAACCTGTGTTTTACAACAGTAGTACTTGATTGTGTACACAGCTTGTATATTACTGTTTATTTATTTTAATATGGATTTTTATCATATCAACAGTTTAATATTCTCTTAACTGAATTTTTGATGTTATTTTATATTTGATGTAGGCACAAAATTTCATTCATGGTCAGAGTTCATTTCAGGATTTGAGTAACGTGGTTTCCTTCTCACGTGATACTAATTCATATGAGCCATAAGGTGACTAAGGCTGCTAGCAGTTTGCAGAAGTTATGGAGAGGTTCTATTCATCAGAAAATATTAAATATTTGATGCATTTTTCTGTAATCTGGATCATTTTGAGATTATATGGGGTTTAAAGTCCATTTTACTTCACCATATAGTAAAAAAACATTTCTATGAAAGTTCTTTCAGTCTTCATTTTGACCCTGCATATAAAGAAACTGATGTATAATTTCATGGCAGAACATGTTTAGTCTACAAATATAATGCTTAATGAATGGTCTACTTTAATGGTGCTAATACAAAAAGTATGGAGAACATGAAAACATCATAATTTTCACATCAAGAAGTGTAATATTTAGTTATGTATAAAACTATCGGTACTTTCAGTGTGCCATGTTGAAGTGAATACGAAGCAAGATGTTTCATTATTCGAAGATGAGTAATCAAGCAAAGCATCTGAAGTAATAACAAAAAGCTAGAAAGTGTTGCTTCTAAATTAGGAAACAGAAATTATAGAAAATAGATTGCCAAAAGAGATAATAATACTTTTTTTTAGTTGACATTTAGAACCTTGGAAGCTGTAAGACAAAAAAGACAAAGTTGAATAGTACATTTTTAGACACCATCTTCAACAAATCACTGTTTGAGCTAGAAATAAAGAACAAACTTGTACAAATACCACAGATTTGCAGCTTTGTTTTGTACATTGGCAAGTTTTATGTATTCAGGTGGGAAGATATTTCTACTCTGAGTAAAAATTACAATTGTAGGAACAAGAATTAGGATTAGAAGACTGGATTTTGTTTATCAAAAACAAATGTTTAGAAAATATATATCAAAAAGAAAATTAAAAATCCTAACATTTCAGTTATAATTTTATTTTGCAAGTGATTTCAAGAGTGAAATCAGACAATTTTAAAACTTGATGTCATTTGTTCTAAGACAAAACATGGGTATTAGACTGAAAAGGGGCTTAGCAACCTCAACCTTACTAGTATATCCAATAATGCATCATAATGAAAGTGTATGGAATTGACCAGGAGTTTGAGTAAATCATTCAGAACAAGATTATATCAATTTGTGATGCAATATTTATAACTAATCTTCTGCTGAATCAGCTATTTTGTTATTGGTCATTTATAATATTACCTTGTCTGCGAATTCCTGGGTAAGTCTTTCAATACACCTGGTAGAAAGTGTATGTAAAAATGATGGTATAGTCATCCTGGAATGAACTCTGATGGTTTTACAAGAGTTTAAAATGATTAGTTCTCCAGTCTTTGATTAAGAAAAATCATAACACTAAAAATATTTCTTTTTTTTTATCCTATAGAAAATTCAGTGTTAATTGTGACCTTAGGCCTACATCAAACAGAATAATGTTTTTAAGTGGAAATATTTGATGCAGTTGAGTAATCATATGTTTGTATGATATGTTTATGTGTACATTTACTAGTTTGGAAATAATAATCTAGAGGAAGACAAAGCAAGTTAAGCTACTGTTTGTGGTGATTGAAATATAACTTTTATTTTTTATTATTATTGTTTATAATCTAAAACATTTAAAACAAATGAAGTTTCTATAAGCCTCACATAAAGTACATCAGAACTGATTATGTGCTTTTTTATGACTGTGGAAATATCAGTAAATCTGAAAGAAAAAAAAGAGGAATTTACTTTGCTAGTTTTAAATGGATTCAGATTTGTGAATTGCATTTATTACAGATATAACCTGAGCCATTTAGAACAGTGGTGTCGAGACCAGAAAATGCAACATTCTGAGGTCACAGAGACACTCCAACCAATAGTTCAGGCATCACAGTTGTTACAAGCTCGAAAGACAGACGATGATGTTCAGAGTATCTGTGACATGTGTGACAAGCTGACAACATCACAGGTATGGGTAAACTTGGTTTCTTGAGGAAATTAATTTCACCATTAAAAACAATTCTACCAATATGAATGAGATAGAATGTTTGACTGGAGTTAGTTACCAGTAGCTACTTTTCATCATCTATGGCAGTGATGAGAAGGTGTGCACATACATAAATTAATACTCAAGTGAAATAGCTCTAATATAATTTTAGCTAAGTTCACTATAGTCACACGTGCTGTTAAGCCTAACTCTCACCATAAAAATCTTGTACTTCACAGTCAACATGTAGATGAATTTTAGGTTGTGGATTATTTGCTTTTGGCTTGTGGTATTACAAGTGTTAAAATTAATTCAACACTTTATTTTTAAGTTGCTTGAATGTAGGTCTGTTTTACAATTTTTATAGTTTTTCCAGACTTTGTTAGTTATTAAATAGTGTGGTAATTCAAGGATAACTCTAGCACGTGTGCTTGACTTTGCAAATAAGTAGAGATTAGAGGACCTAGTAAGTGGAAGGACAGATGAAGTGAGATGTTGTAGGTGAAATGAAAGAGAAGTTGAAATAAAAATGAACACTTTATTGATAAAGGAAAATAGGATGATGGTTAATTTACTGGAGGTTGAACTATTGCTTGGTTATTTAAATTTGAAATGAAAAAAACAAGACTTGTTAACTAGAAAGGAAATAAACTATAGTTAATGAAGGTTAAATATAAATAAACTTTATGGAAGATGATGTTCGACCTTGCATGATCAGCATATTTTGTGATAAACCATAATAAAGGATGACAAAGCTACACAGTGAGTTGTGTTTCTCTTGAAATCAGAAAGAAATCTGTAAGTACCAAAGCTGAATTTACAACTCCCCTTTCTATAGCTAACCAATCAAAGTATTGGATCACTGGAATTCAGAAGTATCTTTGCTTCATGTGACAGTTGTAGAACAGTCCTAGGTACACAAGGTAAAGTAGGTTGCAATACAGCTATTATATGAAATAGCAGATACCTTCTTTGACCAGATCAAGGGTTGAATTTAGCACATAATCTTTATAAGAATTTGAAAATATTGTAGATGTGAAATGGATACTATAGGAGAGTGAAATGTATCCTCTTTGCTTACTACATTATCACCACGTGTGTATGTGTAAACATTCTTCTCCTTAATAGTCTCAGTTGTTCACAAACTCTTTTAAACTTTATCATAATAAAGCATATTTATTTAAAGTTTCCTTTAAATAGTTAATTATGATGAAGGCTGAGTTTATTGTTAGGTCAGAATGGCAGTGTAAGAATTATGATTTTGTTGTAGTTAGCTGATTTGTTCACTTTTCTTGTTATACAAGTAGCATATTTGTGAGAAGGACAAAAATTGTTCTTCACTATAGATTATCAAACACTGAGGAAAAAGATAAACTCAAGAAGCAATACTTTGTAACTTTTATGAATTGCTTGGTATGAACAATAAGCTTTCTTCCAAACTGAAAATCTAAAACACAAAGGACAAAAAGCCAAAATTACACAATCAAAACCACAATGTGTTTATGTTAGGTTTCTAAACATCAAACTGCTAGGAACATGCTATATATATATATATATATCAAGAAAGCACTATTGAAATGTAGAAAAGTATCAACTAGATTGTGATAGATATCATGAAATATTGTGAGCTGATAAGAAAGAAGGACTTAATCTTATTATGTAGCCAGATTATTATTCATCTATTTTTTTACTTAGAATATCTTTTGGGTAAGTAGAATTGCTTGGTGAACAGATAATAAAAACTACTTAAGCTTAGATACAATGTTCTAATAGGAGCATACATGAAAAAAAAATCAGCTTATGACAGGTTTGTTCTACTAAACAAAACTGTAATATGAGCATAGTTCTTGTAAAGTATTGAGTTAAGAATGTTTATGAACTACATCTTGCTGCAATTATAAAAATGTTAATTATCTTATATTTTGTATATAGAATTACATGAATACTGAAAATGTGCTTTATTAATTTTTTTCTCTTTTGTAGTTAATTCTCTTAAGAGGTATATTTTTACACATTGAAAGTTACTATGTATTATAGAGTACTTTAAAACTGGATACTATTGATTGTTTTGAGAATTTAGTACAGAAGTCAAATTTTAGTTTACATGATGGTATTGGACTTAATTTTGGTTATAAAGGCAGATCAGTTTCTGAAGAATTTGCTTTGTATCTTACCAAATTTGGACTAATACTCAAGAAAACAGCCATTCAATTTAAGATAACTAAGTTTTCAAAGTATAACTATAAGGTACAAAAAGTTATCTACTAAAAGTAAATGTTGGATAGGTAATAGAAAATATTTTTAATTCTTTTAAGAATAATTCATTAGTTTTGAAATCATAGCTATTAATTTAAATTTGACTAACAGTCTCTAGCTAGTCAACATTTATTTAATTTTTCACCAAACAACAAATATACTGTTTTGTTTGTAGATCATCAAAATCCTAAACTTGTACACTCCGGCTGATGATTTTGAGGAAAGGGTTCCCATTTCCTTTATTCGTAAAATACAAGAATGTCTGCAAGCACGTGATCAAGTGTCTGATGAGACAAAACAAGTGCAGCCTGCTGGCAAGGCAACTCTACTATTAGACACCAAGTATGCTTTCCCTATTAGGTTTCCATTTAATCCATCTAGCGTAAGGCTTGAAGATGTGGTCATTCCCGAAGCTCTGAACCTGTCCATGTTGAAAAAGGTTTAGCAAGGGACTATTGTGGTTAGTTAGAGCCTAATGAAGTTGTACAGAAAGGTGTCACTAATGTAACATAGCTAGATAATGTGTGTGTGTGTATTTATATATATGTATTACTCTCTTCTTTGTTTTATGGTTATGTTTAAAAGAAAACAGCATCACTTTATCACTTTTTTTACTGTTTAAAATTTTTGCTTATAGTACTTAATCCATTTTAGAGAGTGCAATACTTACACTCTTCAAACTAGTTGATGACATGAGTATAGGATATATATGCTATTTTGCCATGGTTGATTTCGGCAGCATAATTTTGGTTGATATCTGTCTTAACATTTTGTGCCAAAGCACTCAGTTCTATTGTAGCTGCTTGCACTTTCAGTTACCCCATCATTAGAGAAATGTGGATGTTATTTGTTTATTTATCAAACTCCATAGAACTTTTGAATTGATTGCTAATTCGAGCATAATTTGATGTGATAGAACGATTTCTATTGTAAAGGGACTGAAAACTTAAATTATACATTAGTGCATTAGGCAAGAATGGTTTTGATGGAAAACAGTCAAACTAATTTCTGGCATTAGTTCTTAACTCTTTAATTTCAGTTTGTCATTTCATCAATAAGTTGCATAATAATTTTAGAGGAAGGTAGAAATACATGATTTGGTAAAATTAAAAAAAGGAGTTATGCTCTATTTTGTTCACTGAAGATTTACTTGTGAGAAGATAAAACGTAAGAATACTTTATGTTTTTATTAAATATAAACATTTAATTCACAATAAAATGACCTTTATTGACACTTTATGATAAAAAGTTGGCAAAAATATAAGTTTCTAATACTACCTGATTTTTGTTCTGAATATCTTTTACATTGTTTGTCTATAGCTTTGTGTAGTAGTCACAATTTTTGTTTATTAGTTGTGGTGCTGTATTTATTGTTATAACAAACAAACTTATATTTAGATATTTCAGTCCTTGTCACTAATTATGTCTTTATTAGAGTAACAAGTTTACTATTTACATTCCTTTGATTTCTAGTACATTTATGGCCAAGAAATGGGCATTGTACTAGAATTCTACCCTTAACAAAAGAATTTCAATACAAAAAAATTTTATTAACTTGTACACAAGATAGTTTTTTCTTTGTGCACTCATAACTTCATTTGTGATTAATAAAGTAATATTATTATGTAATGATATTCTAATTTCATAGGCATGACCTGTTATTTACTTTCAAGTTCATTTGTTTTGTTTTAAATGAATTAATTTATAAAAAAAGAAATACACCATTCCAAAAATGTTAAGTAATTTTTTTTTATTTATATGTTATGTTTTCTAAAGTTTTTGTAAATGGAAGGTTTGTTCATAATAAATTAGTGATAATCTATTGAAGATATTTATTCCAGATATGCTTTTCCTTGTGATTTTTCTAATTTTATGTGGTGGGATATGATTGTAAATTAACCTTAATTTTTGATTCAAGTAAGCCATTTTAATTTCCTTGGTTTTTATAGACTGCTTGATACAAAAGATTGAATAGCTAGCTACTAGAAAAAATGTTTTGGTTTCTTTACATCTTTTACCAACTCTTTTTAACATTCCAACAAATTTCAGTGATATCCAGGATCTAATTGTAGGATAAAATAGACCCAAATAGATTGTGTAATTATTACAGAATGAATGTATGTTTGTTTCTCCAAGGAAGCTGGTAATGTGGTTTACTGCCATAAGCAGAAAGACTAATATTTCATAAATATGTTCTTATTACCAAACATTAGCTATGCCCCTCTTTGTTTTCTTTGACACCTGTAATAAAAGTTTTTCTCTTTTAAGATAAAAGATTGAAACTTATATATGTAAATCCAAAGTGTATAATAACGTAAGGAAGGATTTTTCTGCCTGAGCATGTGGAAACTAAACAGTATGTATGGAAACTTGCCGAAGAGCTGTCATCTTCACAAACCTAGACAACTATTTTACATATACAGCCTAGATTAGGTGGTAATATGTTAACATTATTATAATTTAGATAACTCCACTTTTCTCTGTGAGTGAATTTTGTTATTTTAACTTAATTTCCTAACAGCCAGTGGATGCTTTATATAAACTAGATTTTACAGTAGTGTGAAACGTGTAACTTGCCTTTTTTATCATCTTGTGGCTTCCTTCTGTGGTATTACATGTGTTTTTAAAATGTGATTGTAGATTATTAGCTGCATGATGTATGTAGGACATGAAAAAGTCATTCTACTGAACTTCCTGAAGAAGTATAGAAACAGCATTAAAACCTGTACGTTATTCTCACATTGACAAAATTCAAAAATAAAAAGTTTATTATCTTAAAGGCTTTTTTTTTATCAGAATCCTCATGAACATTTCTTGCCAAATTTCTTAAGCATAGTTTGCACTTGAGAGTGGTAAAATGTGCCTCTAGTTTGTAGTGTTTTAAAATTATAAGTACTTTATTGGTGTCAATTAAACTTACATTTTTGTTTTCATCTTTAGAGTGATGTGTTGTTCCACACAAACTATTTATATTGTTCCACAGAAAAACAAAGATACTGCTTATGCTGACTTGTACTCTTCTGAAATTGTAACCTAATTATATTGATCTAATAGCAAAGTGATAAAAGTAATATTTATCTCTGCTAACCAAATCTTTAGCATAATCCATCTTCAGGCTTGGCTATGAAATGTTTAGTTAAGCCTGAAGATGGGAATCACCAAGATGGATAATAGCTGAAAGTTCACTAGAAAGCTGTTTCAAGCTAAAATGTTTTGATATTTTAAAGATTGGAACCAGTTCCTCTTGATTTTATATAGTATTATATAATTTGAAAAAAATTAACCTTTAGAGCATGACATGAATTAATTTAGTGTGTGATATGACAGATGACATAAAAATACAGTTTGGGTGTGTGATTTCTATAAATTATTGTCTAGTTATATAGAAGTAGCAGAATGTTAAAGAAAGTTGTAATGATTTTTTTTTTCTTTTTTGAGTTATAAAAACATGTTACAGCTTCCTCAGGAGCAATCAATGACCTACAGTTTGACTGGAAAACATTACCGGCTAGTTTGGAATATTTATATGAAATCTTGTAAGCATAACTTGAAAGATGTTACAGGATTAGATTGGGATGTAATACAAAAAATTTAATGTCTGGCTTAATTTTGGATGTGATGTAAAGTTAACTTGAATGTCTTATGAATGCAGTTTGGAACATGTTGATGCCTTAGTAGGGATATGATACAGATTTAATTTGAATGTCTTATCATCATAGTTTTTAATGTAATAGTCTTGAACATGAATCTTTTTACTGATAGATTTCGAATTTTACTTTAAAACGTATTTGATATATTGTTCCTAGAATTTTGATGAAATTCTTTTTTGTGACATGATACTAGGCTAGTTTTTATAAAATAATGTTGAATATTGTGATCATAAAGTCAATGATACAGGAGAATAAAATTACCAATTTCAATTAACTACAAATATACAACTTAATCAAATTTAAAGTTTAAACAAATTACATTAAAACTTAAACCTGAGTGATTTTGTCATGATATAAATTAAACATAATACATTTCTTCTATACTTTGCTCAAACATTTGAAGTTTCGTTTCTATTTGAAATTCATGTTCTTATTACATGGATAAATTTACACAACTGATGTCTGTACATTTTAAAAAAATAATCATTTACTTCTCATATACCAGGTACTTACCTGACAGCACTATTGCTTCCATTTGAAATTTAGTTTTCATGTAAAAGGATGTTTTTATTTCATATTGTGATTATTCAGAATTTTTCAGCTATTTTTGTCATAGATTATTGAAACACATTGGTGAAACAGCAAACATTTTATGGTTGCTGAAGTTAGTAATTATGACAAAATGCACTATTTTCATTTCAATGTGAGAAATATTTGCAGGTTGAATTACCAGATGACAAACACACACACACACATGGATGTCCAAGCTTTGATCACTTTTGTTTGATTTTCTGAATTTTACAGTTTATAGTTAAAGTGTAAAAACAACATGTATTCTGGCTTATAAGCTTTAGGTATCAGAATTGCTAATTTGAAAAAGAAGGCCTAAATTGTGGTATATCATTAGTAGAAGCTCTGGGTCTAGAATATGATGAACAGAAACTCTGCACTAGCAGTCACTTCACCCTCACTCCATAATGTGTATCTTTACAAAATGTCTTTTTGTATTAATTCCAGAACAACTGATTATTTATGAACAGTTAATACTGTCAGGAAACTTCTAGCAAATTTAAATTGTGATATTTATTTCAATATTGGTGTAAGTTCCTACTTTAAGGGCTGGAAAATTATCTTTATGATCTTCAGTTTCTTTTACTCTGTTTTATTACTGGCTAACAATATTATGTTCAAATTGGTGCTTTCTAATGCTTATTTAACTTTCAGTTTATTTAATATCATGTAATAATGCTTTTGTTAAGTACTTTTTTTAAGTTTGTTTAAAAAAAGAATTTTTGTCTGATTTCACATTTTTCTTTTATTTTAAGTTAGTAATATCAGGTTTTGAGACAAAATATTTTGTTTAGATTCGGTGAGTTACCATAAAAAAAAGTACATGTGTATTTGTAGTGGGTATGAAAAACATTCCATGGATGCTGAAGAGCTTAAGTAAAATTTTGGTCTTCATTTTCCACTTGACATGAACACACTTGTTACAAACTACTCTGAAATGTATGTGTGCTGTTGTCAAATATTGAAGTATATAAATCTTCACACTTACCAGAATCTAATCTCTTGTTCTAGACCAACCTATATATTTCAGTTATACTTCTAGCATCATTATTTTTCAAGTTTCTTCTGAAAACTGACTTTTTTGAGCTAACCATCATATTTGTATACTTTATTCTATTATTAATTTGAAGTGTTATTTATAAGTATTGTATTATTCCAGTTTTATAACATTCTTTCTTAAAGGAACCTACTTCCTATTATTTAACAAAGCTTGTTTTGTTGTTAATAAGAAATGCAATAAATTAAATGACTTCAATAAATTTCCTTTATTTAGTTTCAATGATTAACCTTTACTCAGAATCTTCTTACCACTATGTGATGGGTTAATGATTTTTTTAACATGTAGTTTTATTGCATAAACTGTAAAATGTAGATCTCACAGTTATCTTGATGATCTCAGTGGGTGTTGTCATTTTCTGTCATCTCTTGGATGTATTATACTGTTAAAAGTACATCTGTCCTATGATTTTGCTTTAAAAGCCAAGATATTACTTTTTTAAGTGACTAAAAATTGCCTTTTAATTTTTTATATTTTTGGGGGGGTTAATAGTATTAGTTTGAATAATTATTTATTTAACAGTAAAACTGTTCAGTATTTTCTAATAACTCAAAACATGTAATGATTTAGTTATTATGTTTTGAGTATAAGTTATTTTACGGTTTGTGCCTAGCTTTGGTTATGTGTAGCAGTTAGTAAAAAACTACATTAAATGGAACAAGTTGTTAGAAGCCTTGATATTGGAAAAAACTAGTTTCAACCCATTTGTGCATCCTCTTCGGTCTGAAGACAACATGTCTAATATCAAGACTTCTGACAGTTTGTTCCATTTACTGTGACTGGCTTTTCACTAATTGCATACTAGGCTTTAATTTGTAGATTATTTATTTTAACATCTGTATGTAATAGTGATTAGAATTTTTTTTTAAATGCTGTTCAAAGTTTTCTTCAAACACATCCTTATACAAGATCTACATGGTTACCACATCTTTAACCATCAGTGCAATAAACTAGCACTATGGGTACGATGTATCTTATTACATTAATTCTGAGATATAAAGATACATATTACTCATGATTTTGATTATTTAAAACTGTAAAATAATTGTATACATATGTATATTCAGGACACTGAAAGTCAGCAAATATAGAAAAAAATGAAATATTCTGGCTTTCTGTACACGAAGAAAACATGAACTACTGCATGTTTTAAGTTTTTTTTTTGTTCAAGGCAGTGTTTTTTAAGTTAACACGGACACTAGATACTTATCATTAATAAAATATTTCTTGTGAAATTATCATTCATTAGCTTAAGTGATATTCTGTTTGTTATGAAGAAAGTAATATAGTATCTCTTGAATTGGCTTTTTATAAAGACATTAATATTCACTCTAATAGATAAAATATGATCAGGAGTAAAGCTAATTTTCAAACTAGACAGTTCCACTTATAATCTGTTTAATATTTATTTTTGTTGTACATTTAAAGATATTATAAGACAGAACGTAAGTCTTACTCAAATGCTTCATCATATAAAATATCAGTTTGGTAAAAAGGGGGTAATAGAATTTTAATATGCTCTTGAAAATGCTAAGTTGTTTTATGCAGATAAAACTCAAACTACTTGCATAATAAAAAAATGCTAGTCTATCAAGATGGACTGATACTGAATAGTAATATTTTGCAGATGGTCTCTACAACATTTTATGTTTAATGTTCTCTTCCAAAAGTGTTTGAGAACAGCCTATTATTTCCAGTTTCAGCCAAATGGCTGTTTCAGTTTAAATTTCTTGTTCTAAATGATAAAAAAATACTTTGAATAACAAAACTTTTCTGAAATTCTC